AAGTCCTTTACAGGTGAACAAATGCACTCAAAACTTACAATACAACACTTACAGGAGTGTATATGTTTTGTGTGAGGACGAGCATAACATGTGAAATGTTGAATACATTTAATAATAGTTAGTGAGTGAGTTTGGTTTTACGCCGCTTTTAGCAATATTTCAGCAATATCACGGCGGGGGGACACCAGAAATGAGCTTCACACAATGTACCAATGTGGGGATTCGAACCCGGGTCTTCGGCGTAACGAGCGAACGCTTTAACCACTAGGCTACCCCACCGCCCCCCATTTAATAATAGACTGAAGCTCAACGCTGTCTTCATGCCTGTGTGTGTGTGTCTACAATCTGCCGGTAAATACCTATTTTTCATACTAATTGTGAAAGTTGCTGGTGCTGATGGTAGATCTGGACACGTGTACCGTTTTTTGCGAACACCGGGTGTCATCTGGTTTTAATTATCCAATCATAAAATTTTCACAACTACTTTGTCCTTTTCGCCTAAAAGTGTATGTGAATGTTTTCTGGCAAGAAGGTTTCATAGTCACATATCTCTCGCCAGTTGTTTGGTATCTTTGGTCCTTTGACATAATTAGTTAAGTCAATACATAGAAAACCAGAAATAAGCTTTATGTGTACGAAACAGTCGGAGTTAGCTACACTGTGACGAGGGCACTCTTTATCCACCAACCGCTCCTTTCTGACATAAACTTTGCTTATACATGTATGGAACGTTGTTCTGTAATTAGTATCACAGATCCATTCGCCTCTGTCACGTCATCCCTCCATCGCTTTGTCTCTGAGTACGCACTCCAGTGATATTTCTTGAATATTGCTAAAGCGGCGTAAAACCGTATTCAATCAATCTGAGTACAGATTGTCTCTAGTTCAGGATAATATTTAAATTGAGAACCATTTTAGCATCGTGCCATGAGAATCTGTATCTATGATGGATATTGATCGGGAAAGGATATTAATCATAATATACCCTGGAAACTCGAGGATGGGTCCTGACACGATATACGAAACAGACAGCCCCAGTGACTGCTGAATGGATGTATCGCTTATAGAGATTATTCTAGTGGCACGAGGATCTATATCAGCGATCGTGTCCTTAATTAGCCTCTGTCCACTGCGTGCTGTAGTTTCACGTGGCAAGGCCCAGACAACGTTTGTCCATGTGAGCCTTGTATTACCTTGTGATCGGGAACAAGGCACGTAGTTGCTACAGCACGCTCACAGCCATTTGACGTCATGGAGAAGGTGTCGATTCAGGACATGCAATCAGAAATTACTTTACGATCCATGTGTCGTGTTTCTTCCCACAATTACAACTACACACATGGTTCAGCATTATTCACAAATGTTCGGTATGTAGCACATAGAAAAATATATATCATTCATTATTAAACGAGGCGTACATGTATTGAATCTAGGAAAACCAAGTTCTATGGATAGTCAACTTCTTTATTGCAATGAGTGCGACGTTTCGGTGTAGGTACTTACACCGTTCTCAAGCAAGTGATACAAAGAGTTGTAACATGGAGAATATAAACATAGCTGCATAGTGTGTATATACAATTGACAAGGTTGATATACATTGCATTGCTAATTAGTGATTTGAGCAGAGTAGGTTGATGTACAGAGTGATAGTAATTTAAACAATATGCAGAATGAGTTTATACAATAGATGAGTTGATGTACACTGAGATGGTAATCGTGAGTTGAAGAGAGTAGGTTGATGTACACATTGATTGGTTGTGATTACAATACACAAAAGGGAGCACAGAATCCAATTGGACGAAATATGGGTGGATTACTGGTGATCTTTAATTAGGTGGTGATGAGGAGATAAAATAACCTTGATCCCGGTTCATGCTGGGGTTGAAGCGTTGGATTTTTATGGCTTCAATGGAGTTTCCTAATCTTGTAGTCTGATCGGTTGGTTTCCAGGATGTGGATGTTAGAATCTGTTTCAAATATTTCATAGTTACTGAGATAGCAAGGATGAAACAGACATCCACTTCAGAATGTCAGGTAACTATGGAATTGATACGTATGATGGACAGGAATTAATCATACCATAATACCATGGAGAAGTCATGAGAATCTGTTGTGTAGAATCACCGAGCCCCGAAGGGACGATTTGATCCCAATTCCAGAATGAAAAGTTCTAATGATTTTTCTACAACCATATTCTATACTGTGTTATAGTCTATATGCAAGCAATATATATCTTTATAATGTTTACATATTAACATGAATGTTCAGAAGGGCCAATGTATTCCTGGCTCAGGAATCAACTGCAGGAATTATAATCATCATAATGGTTTAATTTGAAGCATGTTGATAACATTACACGATGCCTCCGAATTATTCTGAAATCGTTTATACACTCCATTTAATGGCTTTACGTAATATTCCTCAATACATGTCCTTTTTTCAGACAAACACTTGACTTGCCTTTGCACGTGTTTGTGACGGGTTTCACGAACACCTGGTATAATAACATTGGGATATTTCTTCCTAAACGCACGCTCACAGTATATGACGTCGTCGTTCAATCGACTGCTGTAGCATGTTTGTTGGGTGATTGTGAAACCTAAATAGCCAATCGGGACGAAAATGTCAGGTAATATTGCTTTAAAGTAATTAAATATGGTTATGAAATATTCCAACTTAGTGCATGTATTGCGATTAAAGGGAACTTAGTTCCTGGTATTTTCATCTCTGAATACTATTCTTACTAAGTGATTTGTCGATTTGACGTAAGGGAGATATCTAATCATACAACCTCCCCATGACAACGGAATTTCTTAGACGACAAACAAAACCCTTGTTTGAAATACCCTGCTGATGAACGCGAAACACTGATAAATCACGAGCTCAAATTGGGTTTCAAAGGTCATGATCGCCATCGCATGTTGTCTTATTATCAGAAGTTAATAACACTACAGACATTATATTACTCGTCTTTGATCAACAATATTGATTGATTAATTGTAGGTTGAGGCTTTTAGCATTACAAAAGTAATATAAACGTCCAACATTTTTTTCTAGGCGGATGAGAAGGGAGTTAAGCATGATGCACAGTATCAAAGTCTTACAGCATCCTTGAACTCTGATTAAAGGAAAAATATCGAATGTTTTCTTATGCATATTGTAAACATGTCCATTCAATTAGAGGATGAAAGGATCTTTTGTATTTATGATGTCATTGTGTTAGATGTAATTCACTTGGATTTATTTACCTTTGCTAGATATTAATTAGTGAAAATGCATTTGTAATAACCGTGTTTATGAATCAATAGTAATGATATCAGCTGTTTGCGTACAGGTGAGCAATATATATTGAAGAATATGGGTCACTATGCGTTTTCAGATTGCCAAGCTTTTTCCCCAAATTCAGCATGTACCGTTATTGTCAAAGAATAATGTTCTTTAAATGTTCAAATCAAATAGATTAACATGGTTAACGTGCACAAACACACATATCCAAGGTATGCTTCAGTTCAAATGCAACTTAAAATACACATGCAATATACCTGCTGTGTTGTCCTATCGCATCGTGTCAATCACTGGATTGTCTGACCCAGACGCGATTGTTTACAAACCACACCGTACTGCTTTGATACTGTTGACACAAATACAAACTCGTGGTATAGTCAGAATGTACGATCGATTCTGCTTTTAGCAGAAATGTCTTGTGGAAAGGGTTTTGTCGCTTCTTTTATCAGGTAAGAAATGCCAGTGAACAATCCCTGTTATTTCCGGTAATAGAAGAATGGGAACAGAAAGACGTACTTAAGTACAATCCTGTCAGCTTTATTGAATACAACCTGGATGAGGATGGGCATCATCTTAATTACTACAGGAGTGGAGTTATTAGTGGAATGACTGCCCCGTGTCCGCGGACACAGCGGTATTGTCTGTCCCGATGACAAAGGGCAGATAGGATAGAGTCTTCAGATGACTGAACCCAATCTTCTCGTGTGATGAAGTTAAACCTTCGCCTCTCGCCAGCTTAAGACTTGAACATGAATCCCGATATACAAGTCTGTCAGCAGGTTTCCTAATTAATATCATCTCTCAGAATTGCAAACATTGTTCAATTTTCGTGAGATGTTTCATCTTTGGTATATGTATTCCTTCATATGGTATGCCTGGTACAATTCCTTTCAGTCGCTAGGTATGTTCTATAACAAACATAGTCAAAACATAGTTTGGCTTTGGCACCGCTCCCTCGTATGACGGAGGACGGAGTAATATGTTACGCATTTTGTACCGATCTGTGAAATCGAACCCAAAGTCTCAGCGTGACAAACTAACGCTTTGCCTTCTTTGCTATCCCCTTGCCGTACATCAATACTTCCTGGTTTCACATTGCATATGTTCATTGTTTTTGTGGAGATTTTGATTAAGGTGACTCATAGTTAGAATCTTTATCTTTGTGTGAACTTTGCTTGAATTCACTCGGGTACGTAGATTAATTGTCTAAGATTGATGCATTCACAAACAAAACATTTCTTGTCAATGTTATACACACTTTTGTTTTTTGACTAATTTAAATATTTACTCCAAGCGTGTGTTAACGTTGGTATTCAGGTACCTTTAAAAATCAAGAGAAGCATTGGACATTTCATAAGCTAATTCATAGATTACATACTTGCAACATATCATCATGGATCATGTGACAGAAATGGTTTGGGTTATAAAATACGAAGCTAGCTCCTTAAAACTGTAATCATCACAAGGCATCATTCTTACATATAATTTCACAGAGAAAATATTATGATTAAAACCACGTTTTTCTCTCTCAATATTATGCGAATCAAAGATCAAATAGCATTCAGAACTTTGGACAGCGATACAAATAGCTTTCAATGTTTCTATAGAACGATTTGGGATCAAGCCTTGTGTCTGGTGTGTATCACATTACAGATCCAGTGCCATTTGTGATTATCTTCAAGCGACAAGATTGGAATGATTGTATTTTTTTCCAGAACTGTGGCGATGTGTCCCCCACTACCCTATCTCCCGAAGTGTCACCTAGCAACTCCTGTGATGAAGGGGACGGAGCGAGGTAAGACGCCATACATTAGTTTTCCATCACGTCACATCACTATACACACGATCTGAGGTAAGTCACGTACAGCATTTTCCTCCTTGTCTTATTGGTACACTTACTGATTCATTGTTGGTTTTGATCCAAGACTTTTAACCTTATTGACAGGAATGAGTATATTTTTACTCGCGTGACACATGTGTCTCTTTACCGGCATTCATATTTCATTTTGAGGAATAGTTCATGTTAAAAAAAGACTCGAGGCTAAAAACGTATACAGGGAATTAAATGCAATGAAAATCAGAAATACGTGGTCTAGAAATATATTTCTTTATGAAACCTTGTTTTGTTGCCACATATTTGCAACTTAAAACTTAAGTACTTCCTTCTTGAAGCAAGTATAGATTATCTGTAATGAAACATCCTTGGTATTTTTACCATGGTAATCACTTACCATAACACTCATCTCCATTAACAAGCTGTCAACGTTATCGGTCAGTTAATGAGAACCGAAGGATCGTTACTGATGGTCAGGTTGTAGGTGACATATGTACTGGTTACTAGTCAAGGTTTTGTTGTGAATGATGTGTAGTTTAAGCTATTTTCCTGTTGGTTGCGTAATGTGTCTTCAAGGTATATTTAGCAGCGTTCATATTGATTTTCCTGAATTATTTACTCGCAAATTGCTTCAGTTTTCATGTACCACACTACAGGAATTGTAAGCATTGCTCAGGTAAATCAGTGGTGCTCCTTGTACGATACAGACATGAATTGTATGTCAGGAAAACGGTACGTGGTATTATGCTAACATTACTTTCAACTCATTCTCTTGTTCCCACTCGTAACATTCAACGTGTCTGGCTTTCAAGCTGTTCTATATTTGGTATCAATGCTCTTTATGTGTTTTTAAATGTGCAAAAAGTAAATTATCTTCACTTACATTGCTTGAGATGCATGATTTTGCGATATTTTGAATGTATTCTTAGGTATTTTAGAATTAAGATTTGGTTTTGTGCTTGTATATATAACTTCAACGCCATTTCTGACTTTTGTTCTCAATGCATTACTGATATATTTAAAGGGTGCAATTAGTGAGTTCCTTTTATTTTCAATAATAAGTTGGACAAAACTGTGAAAGTGTTTGAGGAAACCTTTGAGGAATATTTAAGCAGATCCTGCCGGCCGGCTAATAGCTATATTGTGACACTGATAATTAGGATGTATATGTATATCCAGAAAGATATATATATTTGCCGAGGTATATATGAACGGATGGCTTGTTGATAGCCTTTGAAGTAAACAATGTCGCCTCCATTATGTCTCTTGTTCTGCGTATGACTGAAAACGTGCGTTGCCAGTACGAAAACACCCCCACCATCCTGTAAATAAACTAAGAACTCGACTCTGTTTGACTCCTGCTCTCACTGACAACTATTGTATTGATCACTACTTAGTTGTGACATGGAGGAAGACCAGGGACTCACTCAAACACGAGCATCCAATATTAGGGAGACATGCAAACACTCTTCAGTTCACTTACAGAAGTCCAGAAACGCCTAAAGCCTAAAGGTCATTGATCATAAAGGAGATAACCGGGTTACGTCGCCTTGTAATCTCACCTTGAAACTCTGCCACGTTCGTCAACGTGTAGCGTCAAAATGACAGTGTCCTAGACTCGCTGCTTAATGCCACAGAAGCTGTTAATGTTCGGTGTGACTTTCGGGTTAATAGGATTTTTGTCTCAATGATTTTGTTTTATCATTAGAACAAGTTCTTGAAGTATCCAGGCACACCGTCTCTGTAATTGTATGTCAGACTGGGACAGCTGGAATAATTACCCTGGACACGTCATTATTGAGTTTGGTTGGTTGTAATTGTTTTGCTGTGCCAGCATATCTGACATTTATACAAGCTTTCATGTTTTTTGAAACAGTTTCTGATGGTTTGTTTTCAATGTCATAATTATCGATGTCAAACACAATCCATTTCAAATGAAACAAAAATATTTTTCTGTCCTCGTTCTACGGATGAAATTCATTTTTTGTCATACATTTTTTATTACCCTATCCCTGATTTCATAAAATGCTGCGCTGTCTTTTGGAAGATGAACAAGAACACACTGTGAAACGTCTCACGGTCGCCGGTTCTGTTAATCAGTTTCGCTAGAATCAGTTTCCTGAATGTGAATATGAGGAAACCAATTGATTCTTGCACTTAATGAGTAGCAGGTTTTCACTGCAGCTCACATTGTAGTACCATCCTTTGGGAATTGGTCATCAACCATCTCTCTGTCTTACGTCAAGCCCCAGGACTGCCCAAACACCAGAGTGCAACCCGGACGAACAACCATGAGTACCACGAATCAAATTTATTAGCAGCAATATAGTGGGACATAGACGGTGACCCAGTGGCTCTAAGAGGATTTGTTTCTGGAACTTTTGGAGTCGCAGCGAATGTTCATTTGCACTGGTAATCATAATATCAATAGAATGTATTGAAGACCAACTCGCCTCGCCGTCATACCACCTGCAGTATGAGACAAGTGACACGCTGAGTTCTGGAACTGTGGGGCTGATATTCTCTTTGGGAAGAGTTTTGGGATTTGATTTACCAACTTTGGCATATGTGGCATGGTGGAATCTCTTTGGTGGAAACGTTTGTGAATTATCTTTCTGGCAAGTGACACAACCTGGTTACCGTGGAGCGGATTTCTTCGTTTTTTCCAAAGCTGCGATTTATCTGTTTAGTCCGTGACACAACTTTGTTGCCGTCAAGAAGGATTTTGTATTTCCATCACACTGCGATTTATCCATTTCGTCTGTGACACAAACTGGTTACGAGGTTGTGCATTTTCATTTTGGGGAAATGTTAGTGCATCGAGGTGATTGTAACTGTGAATTTCTGGCAAAGAAGGAAGCTTGTGCCAGTGTCAACATTGGAAGTTACTTGAAATGACGTTGTGAAACTTTCTGAATGTCATTATCGATAATGAGTGTCATTAAGGAACCACTCGTTTTATGGATTGTAAAATAATCCCAACACACCAAAAACCACATAACCTCACTCAGCGCGGTTTATGGATTGGAGAAAGAGCATAATCTTGTTTCAGATTCTTGATTTAATTTCACACTTCGCCTGGTAGTTGTCACTTTTGATAACTAACGCGACTTGTGACCTTCTACACACGTTTTCAATCTGAGAATAATGAACTGCAACGATGCCAAAACCCTCTGGAGACGTCTCTCTCAGAAGGCCAGCTTCCACAAACCAAGGCAGCAAAAGAAGGAACCTGTCATTGAGAATGGGTAGTACTTCATTTTTCCGTTGTTTGTATGACATGGCTGTCAAAATTACTTTTCGTACGATATTTATTAGATTAGGTTTTCCGTATTTGAGAATGTATAGAATGTCTTTAAGGAGTGTGTAGTTGTGTTTGTGTAAGAAACAGTGTACGTTGTTATCGTTATTGTATATGAAGTTCTGGTTAAGTGTAAGTATATATATAATGTAGAATAGCTCATCATCATCATGACAAATAATATTGATAAAATACTCAACAAAATCTGTCCATGTTTATGAGAATATCGAGTGTACTATATGTTGAAATTGTGTTTCGGAATCAGTATGGAATAGGAATGATACCAGGTGTTTGTATAAAGCTAAGCATATCAAGACCCACCCATGGCATCAACTACAAATGCATGAAAAGGCAAGTCAATTATTCAGATGGAAAATCCAGGAACATAGGATAGCTACTGCCTGAGCCCATAACTCAATATTGTCTGAACGTATCATCTGAACGTATCAGTCGCGGGTAAAGAATAAAATGTATTTGTTTCATAGATATGTAACAATTAATTTTGGAATTAATAAGGTTTCTTTCCAATAAGTCTAAGGAAGCTGTCATTTATATCTGAAAGTGCCATGTATTCATATTATTCCAACTTCTAAATGCCTTTCAATGACTCTAAACGCCATTTACTCTATGGATATTTTGAGGACTTCTTAAGACTTTTATGAAAAATATCTAGCCCAGGCTTTCTCGTCTGAACAATTCAAATTCTAAAAGTGTTTGTTTTGTCACCGATTCCTTCTTTCACGAGCGATATGACAAAAGCCTCAGTCAGCGACTAGCAGCGTGTGGACCTTCAAACCGCCTACAGACAATGCTCCACAAGCACCTATTTCCCTTCAAATGTCACTTTCATGAACTGTGTCATTATAAGACAGATTGACCAATTGGGTTTTTGTTTTATTTCTGACCTTTTCAGACATGTAAATATATCAGAGCCCACGTAAAGGTCAACATTCTACGCCTTAAGACGAGCGAAGCAATCAGGCATCGGCATAAAAGTGATTAAATCTAAGAATTGTGATATTTGTAATATATGGACATTTGGACATATTGATGAATAATATACGCCCTGAATATGTCAAGTAGATGCAATTTACATGACTAGTCATATGCACTATTATCACCTAGCTAATGTTGTACATCTCTCGTTGACGACATATGCACTGAATGTGTTGAAATAACAGGAGCAACACGTTCACAAGAACACACGCCAGACAGGGTATTTGTCACTGTAGGCTCTAAGAATAAAAGTATATATACAAGTTAAAACAAAAGATTTTTTCAGTAAATAAATGTCTGGTATTTACGCTTATTGATTACAGAGGGTTTCAATCAGTTGATTTCACAATCCTAATTTAACAATTTTGAGAATTAATTCCAATCTTGTGATTGTCTGGAAACTATCTGGAATTTATCTATGTTTCTTTATCATGCTCTGAAATTAAGAATTTGTAACAAACCCTAAACTATGCATGTACTATATCTTTAACTTCATCGGTATCCCGAACTATATATATAATTCATACATTGATTCCATCACAGCAAAGCAGTCTGTTTGGAAGAACAGTTGTATCTTCAGACTCCTGTCTAGTAGACGGTGTGAAGAGGTGAAACATTCAAATATTGTTCATTAATTTAACAAGCACCAGCAAAAAAACGTATGTTTGCATCTGGAAGGGGAGAGCATCGTACCCAGGTTAGCAGAAACTGTACGCTTTGATCATGAAGCTACTGATATGCTAGTTTAGTGGATGGAGGGTTTAGTCATAGCTCAGAGGATCGGGAGCGAGTTTATATTGATGTCATTGCATTGTGTAGCGGGCTTTCTCACTTTCACACAAAGTAGCTTCATCAGATATCCATCCTTCCCAGTGTACGAATAACTGTCGCCAAAAGACTCTAGTTCCTGTGATTTCTCCTTCAGCTGAATTTACGTTTTTGCATCATTGGATGTATGAAATAATAACAAAACAGAGATGTTGCATCTCCTCAATAAGACTCACGGTAGATTCAGCAAGATGTTCTGGCATAAAGTTTGATTTCTGCTTTCAAATCAAAACTTGTCGCTTGCAAAAACAAGAGCAAGAGTGAGTTTACAAGAAGCAACTTGAAGCGAAATGTTTTTTCTACTTCAGCCTGCGCTGTTTATTCCCTAGGTTTACGAGTTCTTTTCGAACATTAAAGTGACAAATTTAGCATGGAACACCTGAGATCTGTTCAAGCAGATCAGAGACAGAAAGACAGTTTTTCCTTTCCAAGCGCACTCCAGAGGCTGGTTTCAGCACTCACCAAGCCATCCAATTTGTGGGAGACGCATTGGATGGACCACTCTATCATTTGCCAAACCGACATGATTATATATTGTTTAAATTATAACCAATACATCAAATTTAAGTGTATGCTCTTAGTTGTCATTCGACTAGTTGTGTTGAGGAGGCCACATCGTCGCCCCAGCCTCCACGCAGCTGGTTGTCGCTTGTCGTCGACTGCAGCCAGTCTGACTTATCTACTTGCAGTAACATCGCCGAACGACTACGACGTCGTCGGAGCTCCGTGGACCTAGCGATGAACATCTACCCCGGAGATCTACTTGTTCAGGAACACCATAAGAAGCTTATCAAGAGGAATACTATAGCAGACTTCTATGCAGGCCGCAATGGAACGACACAGCAACAGCAGCCGCCGACCACCATAGCAGAGGCCCCTGGAGGTAAGGGGAGATAATCCTACATAGTAAAAGGCGTTCAGTTATTCGGGACTGTTATCGTTTTCTCACTGCCAATGTGAAATATATAAGATATAATTCTCAATCAAATGTTATGTTATGTGGACAGTGGAAAAGAATCTATACTGCAAGAAACAAATCATTCTGAATTCTCTTCCGAAACAGATTCCGTCGCTTTAAACGGCAAACATGTGGTGAAATTATATGAATAAATCACTGAAACCGGAGACCAGTTTCTCACGAAAGCATGTGTCTGACCTACCGGTCGCCATTCACACTATTTCCGTGAAAGGGTCATTTATATGCCATTCACATGTGTATCTATCACAAACATGTGTATAATATTTATTTCAGGTTTTAGGCCCAGGTTTTAAATACGTAATGGGTGAAAATAATGAACGTTATGAGTAAACCCGTATTGTGGAATTGGTGTCAAACTTGTTTTGCCAATGGAGGTATGAACTTCCACAGTCATCCTTACCAGTACACAAACCTACTCCAAACACCTAATATAATAATGGCGTCATATATCTCAAAATGAGCGATTATTGTTAATCGCCGTATTGGCAATCGTATCCCAATTGCGTAGATCGATGCTCTTGATGTTAGTCACTGGATTGTCTGGTCTAGACTCGATTATTCACAGACCGCTGTCATATAGCTTGAATATTGCTGAGTGCGGCGTAAAACAATACACAAGTGAAGAAGCACAAATTCTACACATATGGAAAATAGAACTATGTTTTCGGCATGAAGAACAATAGTTCAATCCGTACTTTAAACCACCTACTCGAATGGTCATAGTATCAGACATAGTTGAAATTATATTACTATCATTCGGTCGTGAAAAGATACAATTATTCACCTACACACTAATTATTGTCTTGCGTCCGTATACGTTACCAAACATTTGGCATGGCATTTTATTCGCTGTACAACTTCAAGATGTCTCCAAATCGTTTCGTAATCGCAAACACAAAAAGTGAAAAGATTATAGATTGCCATGATATTTAAGTTTAAATCGTTCCCTTGGTTCCAGTTCTTGCAACATGTTTAAAATACATTGATTCTGAAATATTCTGCCAATAAAGATCTGTTTTGGCGCGAGGGAATGCCAGTTTCATACTTTCATGATACCACTGGGCATGGCACTGAATGATCATAGTACTCAAAGATTAACCATCAAACGCGTTCTTCAGTCAAGATTCCGATAAAAATGCACTTTTCCATGTTTTTGGAAATGTCAAATTTTCCTGTGTGAAAAACAGAGTAAAATTTAATATCCGCTTTGTGTGCCTTCGTGACGGGGTTTACCTTGTGGCACTTCTAACACCATAAAACAATGTATTAGTTTAGGTTGGACGCGTTTCTGGGTGTGTTATAATATGTTCTATTAGTCTCAACGGGATGTGAACACCTGGTGTTTAATGATTTTCAGTCATCCATTCATATAATTTTCACGGCATTTTGCCTTGTACACCCAGGGGAGTCTGTTTCGGTCGTTAATCGAGACGTTTTACTTGCTTTTTATGTTCGCAAACAAATAATGCAATAGAAAAATATATTACTTTTTCATTCACAGATGCACGTGATTCCAGGAAGGGGCGCCAACCATTTTCATTATTAAAATTGGTAAGTTGATATAATGATAATATATATAATTCTTCATATCTGTAGCGGTTAGGTTCCCGGTATGCCTCTAGTGAGGTTATAGACTCATCATCATTGCTGTGGTGATTAATAACATTTATCATGTTATTACCTATTGGTTAATAACATGGCAGATACTGACGCTTTATACATTGTCCAACCGTGATCGTTTTGTAAGCATTCATTGTAACAGGGGCGGTTGGGTATCCTAGTGGTAAAAGCGTTGGCTCGTCACACCGAAGACCCGGGTTCGATTCCCCACATGGGTACAATGTGTGAAGCTCATTTCTGGTGTCCCCCGCCGTGATGTTGCTGGAATATTGCTAAAAGCGGCGTAAAACCAAACTCGCTCATTGTAACATATATCTGTTTGAGATACAATTGTGTTGAATAGCCCCCAATTGAAATGCCCTTAATGTCTTTCAGCTTATTACGTGTAAGTGTTAGATACATGTCGTTAGATTATATGGGCATCTTGAGCCATAACCTCGGGAGGTAGATGACTTCAGTGTACTTAAAGATTGTGAATGTTGCGTCTGTGCGAATGTGACATTATTGCAGCTGATTTCCGGTGTCTTTAACTAACAGTGATCTACACTCCTAGTAATTATGGGGGCGGTGGGGTAGCCTAGTGGTTAAAGCGTTCGCTCGTCACGCCGAAGACCCGTGTTCGATTGCCGACTTGGGTACAATGTGTGAAACGCATTTCTGGTGTTCCCAGCCGTGATATTGCTGGGATATTGCTAAAAGCGGCGCAAAACTAAACTCACCTAGTAATTATTTGCCCCAAGAAGAATCCATTTTTAACCGGTTTCCAGCAACCCATGCGTCTCGGAAGAGGCAAATTTGCTTTTTGTAAGATGCAACTGACGGCACCGGTGGTCAGGCTTGGTTGAGACATGTCATTGTATATTCCACTTGTATTGGTCAACATCCATGATGTCAATCACTGGATTGTCTGGCCCAGACTCGATTATTTACAGACCGTCGTCATATATATAGCTATAGCATTAACTTAGTGCAGCGTTAACCAATAATGTACTGATTTACGTATTGAAGCACGTATGTATCAAGAATGTATATGGGGCGGTGGGGTAGCCTAGTGGTTAAGGCGTTCGCTCGTCACGCCGAAGACCCGGGTTCGATTCCCCACATGGGTACAATGTGTTAAGCCCATTTCTGGTGTCCCACGCCGTGATATTGCTGGAATATTGCTAAAAGCGGCGTAAAACCAAACTCACTCACTCACTCAAGCATGTATGTGTCCGGTATTGTCAACATCAACAGAACGTATCATTGTTACAGTTTAATGTCACTTCGATTGGCTATCTGATCAAAATAGAGCATGTTCCGAATGTAATGGTTGTATATTTATTGCAGATGAAAACCCGGAGTAAAGAATCATTGTCTCAACTCGGGGAGCTTCTCAGCAAGATCAAACCGTCCGAATTCAAAGACAACCACTTAGCGGCATACAAAGTAGGTATATCTATATATCTCCAGTATCTTGCACTCTCAATAACCATAGATATCCATTGTTCACTGAAAATATGCTTTCATCAAACCACAACCACTAATTACGCACTACGTTCCAAGGTTGATATTTGGTTGTGTATTGACCAGTTCCGCCTGCAGAGCACTCCAGACAACCAATCCAAATCAAGCCGTTGTCACCGAGTGTATGGATACTACCCAGTGTTATCAAATGCCACGCAATGCAGTGCAATGTAAACCCAATGCATTATAATGGTATGGTACGATACCCATTATATTTCAAGGTCGGCTTGGTAGCCTAGTAGGGAAGACACGGGTTCGATTTTTCTCCGGGTGGGTACAATGTGTGAAGCATATTCCTGGTGTCTCCCGCCGTGATATTGCTGGAATATTACCGAAAGCGGCGTTAAACTTCGCTCACACATTTATTTCAGTGCAATACACATTTCACACATCTAGAAAAATGTTTAAAACGGACGTCTTTGGGAGACTATCAATCTTCAGACCTTTCGAAAATAACATTTAATCCATATTAAATGTTTTTATAATATACATTTAATCGGTGTTCGTTTCTAGCTTGAAAATGGAGAGTTTTGCTCAAGTGCAACGTTTACGTACATAAAATGGACAGCACACTGCTTATGGCAGCTTGATCCGGACGACTTCTTTACTATGGGTTTCACAGTACAGGGTCTTCAACAATGTGGAATAAATTGATATTTTGAAACATTGCACCTAATTCTCCTGGGGTCTTTTAATTTTGTTATTCGTGTGGTAAACACTGTGAGCTGTTGTTTTATATGTCCGTGGGAGAAGACAATGTTTCCTTGTGGGCCACGGTGCCAACCTATCTTTGCATCTAATTGGAGGGGCCGCGGTTCTTAGCCCAGGACACGTTCAAGCCAACAGCATATTTGAATAGCGCCGCGTTCAAATTCGTTGCCCGTAACGATCCGTCGTGGAGTTCCGATATGAAGGCAATGGCATGATTTTGCTGGGTTAGACATCGCAATTCCACAAAGAAATCCGATTTAAAGAAGACAAAAAAGTAGCTTTGTCTGTCTACATGGACGGCTGGGTCAGGGCTGATGACAGCGCTTGAATTATAATCAGACACACTACATAACCGCCTGCAGCATGTAATTGTTCCCGTTCCTGTTCTCTGTTGACAAGAACATCCTACACATCTAACCATCTCATTTACAGGAGACTGACATGTAACGAATACAAAAGCAGCTACTAGACCTGTGTCAAACCTGAACTGAAAGACGCTACAGAATAGTCAATCTTTCAAAGTTCTCAAGGCGACAGAACCGTCTCAGATCATTCTTTTGATATCGTCGGGGAACCGATTGGTACACTATATAGTCTGGAGAGGCTGTATTCGCGGATCCACTCTGCAGCCTGTTTAAATAGCCCCGCTTTAAACCTGAAAGAGGAAAGGGTTGGAGTGTTTTTCTATTATCAACTAAATCAATTTGGATCTGGTAATAAACGCGGACGCCCTTCAACAACCTTTCAAAAGTATTTAATTTGTGTGGAGGTGGTCAGTTTTGCTAACACGCTGTATTGCAAGATCTTTTATATTGGTCGTTCATAGTGTCCTCAAGGTTGGTTAAAACATGACGTGCAGAGTCTGTCGTCAGACAGAGACCCCTGTAGAAACAAGTAATATTGCTGTAAATTACCTCAAGATTATCTCCTTTATGGTAATTAATATTTGTTGATATGGGGCCTATCGTAAAGTGATCATCCGGGATGATATTAATGGCCCAGATATTAATGTTAGTAGGACGCCATTCGGCGGACCATGATGTCTTCATTACTGACCAAATGGCCACTAAATGCCGTGCCATGATGGCGGAGATTGTTTGGAAAGGTCAGTGATAAACATAGTTTGATATATGCAAGTAATTATCGCACCATATGATAACACAGTGTGTGTCACGTGTAGATGTGCAGTGTCGGTATTACCAACAGCAATGTCCTTAACGGTTTGGTTCAAAATAAGCAACATCATTTAATGTTTAGTTTGCTAATTCAGAGTTTTACAGCTATAAGAACGTTTTCAAATAGAGTGGAGAGACTGAGACAGATGACTCAAGAACTAACGTAACGTATCACTGAACACAATATCCATCAATGTCTAACACAATGTCAACGACTACGACACAATACCAGCTAACATAACGTCAATGAACACAAACTCCATCAACACTTAGCAAAACGAAACGAACACCAAGACAATCAACAGCTAACACCACGTCAGTGAAGCCAACACTATCATCAACTACCACCACGTCAATGAAGCCAACACTATCATCAACTACCACAACGTCAATGAAGCCAACACTATCATCAACTACCACAACGTCAATGAAGCCAACACTATCATCAACTACCACCAACACATCATCAACTCAATGAAGCCAACACTATCATCAACTACCACAACGTCAATGAAGCCAACACTATCATCAACTACCACCACGTCAATGAAGCCAACACTATCATCAACTACCACAACGTCAATGAAGCCAACACTATCATCAACTACCACAACGTCAATGAAGCCAACACTATCATCAACTACCACCACGTCAATGAAGCCAACACTATCATCAACTACCACAACGTCAATGAAGCCAACACTATCATCAACTACCACAACGTCAATCATCAAGCCAACACTATCATCAACTACCACAACGTCAATGAAGCCAACACTATCATCAACTACCACAACGTCGTCAATCAACTACCACCCACGTCAATGAAGCCAACACTATCATCAACTACCACAACGTCAATGAAGCCAACACTATCATCAACTACCACAACGTCAATGAAGCCAACACTATCATCAACTACCACAACGTCAATGAAGCCAACACTATCATCATCAACTACCAACTACCACAACGTCAATGAAGCCAACACTATCATCAACTACCACCACGTCAATGAAGCCAACACTATCATCAACTACCACCACGTCAATGAAGCCAACACTATCATCAACTACCACCACGTCAATGAAGCCAACACTATCATCAACTACCACAACGTCAATGAAGCCAACACTATCATCAACTACTACAACGTCAATGAAGCCAACACTATCATCAACTACCACAACGTCAATGAAGCCAACACTATCATCAACTACCACAACGTCAATGAAGCCAACACTATCATCAACTATCACAACGTCAACGACACCAAAACAATCCAATCCACATCTACCACAACGGATCCACGAAGATCCGGGTTAGAATTGGTCACCGTATCCCAAATGCGTAGATCGATGCTCATGCTGTTGATCATTGTCTGGTCCAGATTCCAATATTTACAAACCGCCTCCATATAGCTGGACTATTGCTGAGTGTGACGTTAAACAAACAAACACCCAACCAACCAACCAACTACCACAATGTCAACGACACCCAACACAAGCAACACCTTCCGGACGTCAAAGAGCACAAATGTCATCAACAACCAACACAACTACACCGACACCGACACCGACACCGACACCGACACCAACACCAAACCATACCACATCTACCACAACGTCAATGCAAATAACCAACATCTCCAACTCGTTCACCTCAAGGACCTCTCCTCCCACCCAGTTTCATACAGACCCCGCTTCTGGATCGTTTATATTTAACTGTGCGTGTACTGAATCTAGATTTAGCGTCAGTCATGGATCGTCTTACAAACAAAACAACAAAACAGTTGTTGGGCCACGGCAAAATATAAGTCGGCATAACATCAATGAACATTTACTGTATGAATGATTCAAGTATTTACGAACTCGTGTGGGAGACACAAAATACGCCTATGTGTCGATTGTTAGCGAAGGATTGGCAACGACCTAAAGGTTGCTCTTCTCGTTACGGGGTTTATGCTCCTTTGATGACGTTGGGTGAATGTCTACGCTTCTCTAAAACTGTGACAACTTAACAAACGTTCTAAGATACGATCCCCCACGTTTATGCGTAATAAGTGACATTTCATATCTCCTACGCCGATGAGCCTCTGACGTAAACACGACAGATAAGTGGTTTGAACATGATGGTATCTCTAGGTTCTGTCTTATCGGCAAGGGAAGCTACTTATTTCTAACATTAAGCCTGGATGAGATTTTCACAAGTGAATTAGTCTGGACAAGACAATACAGTGACTGATATCATGAGCATTTATCAATTTGAATACGACTATTTAAGCCAAGTTAGCTAGTCTTGTCGCCTGATTACCTTAGCCGCCTGTTACGACAAGCGTGTTGTTGAGGACAAGTTCTGTCCCGGATCTTTACGAGTAGTGTAAACATGTAAAATACGTTAAGTGTTATGAAGTGCTGGCTTTGAAGCGATAGTATTTCTGTTGCTTCCTGGGCGGTGTGGTAGCCTAGTGGTTAAGGCGTTCGCTCGTCACGCCGAGGACCCGGGTTCGATTCCTCACATGGGTACAATGTGTGAAGCCCATTTCTGGTGTCCCCCGCCGTGATATTGCTGGAATATTGCTAAAAGCGGCGTAAAACTAAACTCACTCACTCACTGTAGCTTCCTTAAACATAAACAGTGCAACCTTGCTAGTCCGGACCCCGCTATACCGGACACTCAGACCTATGTATCGTGTTGATTCTTTATCCGGAATAAACAGAAGTTACTGAATTCTCTCTAACTGTGTTATCACCGATGTATCATCTTCGATATTTGGCTTAATCTCCTACAGTTGTTTACTGTAGACTTAATGTCCGTTGATAGTGGACCAGACAATCCAGTGATCAACAGCATGAGCATCGAACTGCGCAATTGGTAACCGATGACATGTGTCAACCAAGTCAGCGAGTCTGACCACCCGATCCCGTTAGTCGACTCTTACGACAAGTATTGGTTACTGCAGATCAATTCTAGCCCGGACCTTCACAGATCTCGCTCGTCTGACATCAGACGGGGTTCGATCCCTGAATGGATACA